CTAAAGTTGCAGTGGCCTTCTCTTGTCTTAGTACTTCCTGCTTTCATTGTCCTTTGTAGCATTAGGATATTTAAGGTAACCAGAGAGGTAACTGATTGTGCAAGTGGCTTTCCAAAATTCTTCCTGTAATTCCTTGAGAAAAAGTTACCAAAGCAACTCTGCAAGAAATTGAAAATAAGGTGAGCCTCCCTCCCTCCTTTCCTTCAATATATTGTAGCTTTATTCAGAAGTTTTATATCTCATCAAGATTTGCATTTTTATCTTAAGTATCTTCACTGACGTACTTTTCTAATCAGACTTAGGCTGCTGCTGTTAAAATCAGTGAAAGGAAGGTTTAAAAATTACTTGATTTGAGTTATTAGTGGGAACTTGAAAGGGAGACTAAGGTAGTATAAAGTATTACTTTGTTAGGATGCTTTTAACTTAGTATATGTTTTTTTCTTTTTCATATATGTGTTTTATTGTTTTTGTACATTTATTTGTATTTGGATATTGGTCTATGACCGTATTAAACTTGATCTGATCTTGCTGCTAGGCTGTGTGTGTGTGTGTGTGTGTGTGTGTGTGTGTGTGTGTGTGTGTGTGTGTGTGTATGTATGTATGTATGTATGTATGTATGTATGTATGTATGTATGTATGTATGTATGTATGTATGTATGTATGTATGTATGTAGTCTTGCTTTAAATCCTGGTTATCGGACTGAATGTCTTTTCAGAATGTGTGGATATTCTGAAAAGTGAATTTCAAGTAATTGACAGAAGTGCATCCTTACAGCTCTTGTTTCATATTTTATGAGGGTTATGCATATTTGTGTTCATTGCTGAAACTGCTGTAGTTAGGTGGAGATTATCAAGTTCTTAAAGACCAGAGCACTCTTCAGCACTAGTTGTGTATATACACTCCTTTTGTGTGATTTAATGGTGTTATTTTGATTTGGTGTGTAGCTTGATCCTTTGTGAGTGGATTGATAAGAATAACAAGGTAGAACTCTTTTTTAAAGGTAAGGTTTTGATTGAAATGTACTTAGCAGTATGAAATGGAAAAATGTCATTTTTGAATTTTGAACTTAATTTGCCAAATAACTAAAATTCTATTAAATAAACTGATATATGGTGCTTAACATATCTACAATATATGGTAAATGTTTGCATATTCATATTATACAAAAAATTATGATCTTTGTTTTGTTGAATAAAATGCTCAAACTACATATTTTAAAACTTGGCTGGATAGGTCAGTGAGCTGGCTGTGCATCCCAGAAGAGCCAGCCTTTATAGCCTTGGAAAAGCTGCATAGTCCCAGGATGCCCCCTGAAGGGAATAATAAGACCACTTCTGCCTGTTTTTCTACCTAGAAAACCCTGGAAAGGGTCACCATAAGTCAGAATTGACTTGATGGCACACAATTGCTGTTATACATACTCAATTTGTGATTAGCTTGTCATTCAGTAACTTCCATAGGTATATGGAAAATTCTAGTTTGTTTTTACTTATATATGGTATTATTACATTAGCTGGTTATGCTATTTTACAGCTCAATAAGCTGTTGTTAGGCCTGGTTATGCTATTTTACAGCTCAATAAGCATCAATAACCTCAGATAGATTTAGGTAGTAACTGTTGTTAGGCAATGTTGTTGTTGTTTAGTCGTTTAGTCATGTCCGACTCTTCGTGACCCCATGGACCAGAGCATGCCAGGCCTTCCTGTCTTCCACTGCCTCCCGGAGTTAGGTCAAATTCATGTTGGTAGCTCCGATGACATTGTCCAACCATCTCGCCCTCTGTCGACCCCTTCTCCTCTTGCCTTCACACTTCCCAATATCAGGGTCTTTTCCAGGGAGTCTTCTCATGAGATGGCCAAAGTACTGGAGCCTCAGCTTCAGGTTCCGTCCTTTCAGTGAGCACTCAGGGTTGATTTCCTTCAAAATGGATAGGTTTGTTCTCCTTGCAGTCCAGGGGACTCTCAAGAGCCTCCTCCAGTACCACAATTCGAAAGCATCCATGCTTCAGTGGTCAGCCTTCTTTATGGTCCAGCTCTCACTTCCATACATCGCTACTGGAAAAGCTATAGCTTTGACTATGTGGATCTTTGTTGGCAAGGTGATATCTCTGCTTTTAAGATGCTGTCTAGTTTTGTCATTGCTTTCCTCCCAAGAAGCAGGCGTCTTTTAATTTCATGGCTGCTGTCACCATCTGCAGTGATCATGGAGCGCAAGAGATGCCTCCATCTCTTCCCCTTCTATTTTCCAGAAAGTGATGGGACCACTGGCCATGATCTTAGTTTTTTTGATGTTGAGCTTCAGACCATTTTGACGCTCTCCTCTTTCATCCTCATTATTTATTTTGTTCTGTGTTCTTGTGGGAGGGATAGAGTTGAGTGTCATGTGCATATTCAGAACCCCAAACCTCTAAATGTTGGACAACCTCTTCTAGTGATTTCATGTACAGTATATGTTAAATATTATAGGGCAGTGGTCCCCAACCTTGGGCCTCCAGATGTTCTTGGACTTCAACTCCCAGAAATCCTGGCCAGCAGAGTTGGTGGTGAAGGCTTCTGGGAGTTGCAGTCCAAGAACATCTGGAGGCCCACTGTCATAGGGGACAAAATGGAGTGCTGAAGTATGCCATGGGGCCAACAGTCAGAGTGTCACATGGGAGTCCCATGGGAGTCCCCCAGCACCATCTTCTGAGTTTTCCCTTCCAGGACGAACTGGAGCCACTATAGGACTGTGTTTGCAATCTCCATCCCAGAGAGATAGCCCAGAACGATATCATGGTTGATGGTATTGAAAGCTAGTGCTAGGACACTCGTCTCCTTCTGGCAACGATCCTCTGCCAAGGTGATCAAAGCAGTCTTTACCCCATAAGTAGGCTTGAAGCTAGTATGAAATGCATCTAGATAATCCATAGCCTCCAGAAACTCCTGGAACTGCAAAGTCATAAAATACTCCCGTATCTTGTCCAGGAATGGAACATTTCAGACTGGCTGGTAGTTATCAAAACCATGGGATTCATTAGCAATAGTTTTACTATTATCTCTTTTAAGTACTGTACTCTGGGATCCTGAAGGGTAACTCGTGTTATGGCTTCCATCTGTCCAAGGGTCATGTCCGTATCCTTAGGTTGCAAGAACTGAAATTTATTCATTTTCACATGTGTCTTCAGATACACTTAAACTGAATATGTTTTTTGAAGTTTGGTGACATGCTGTAATTATACATGCACATTTAGCTCTGGAATGGATTAGTAGCTCCTTGTTAATTGAGAGCCTCTTTAGATAGTATTTCAGTGTTTGATCTCTATAGTTGTGAGACTGTCTTGTGTGTATTTCTGTGTCTGTGCATTCATGGTGGATCTCTCTATCGCAGACTGCAGGAGTATCTTGTATACTTCTGGAGATCAATCTACCATAGTCCTTATATGTGAAAATGATTACCAAGAGCACTGGTGAGAAGGGATGATGCCTGATATTCAATAAATTTTGTGTCATTAAAATACAAGTCTTATGCTCACTGCATGGGGATTATGAATAACTAGTAACACTGCATTCTTGGTGTTTATAGTTCACTGTGTTCACTTCTTCCATCCATTTACCAAGTTTAAAGTAGTGGAGGCATTACTGTTAATGTTATTATGATTAATATTAAATTAAAGAATGCTTAAAGTAGCATGGAATTGGAGAGTTAAGGAATACCATGTCATTGAGTCTGACTAATGAAATTATAGTAATATGCTTCATTTATGTATCTTGGGTTGTGTTCCTTCAGTGCATTGTCTGAAAATAAAAGACTATCCCAAACCTTGTTGCCACTTGATTTTACAGAGGCAGTTCCAGATTAGAGCACATCTGGCCACCAGTGTGGATAAAAATTACTGATTTTTTTTTTAAAAAATCAATAATGATTTAAATTAAAAATGACTTTTTGATTTAAATTGTCAAAAATCAGTTTTTTAAAATTTAAATCATGATCAAATCAAGCCTGCAACCACCAGATTCCTCATGGGGACTGCAAAGCTGTGTTAGTAATTATACCATTTAAAATCATGGTGGGTCTGACATATGGCATCAGTGATTTACTTTTTTAATGCAGCTGATCCTTTGATTGTGTTTGTGACTTTTTCAGCCCTAGGGGTCTTATATTACTTCAGATGAATTGAGAAGTAGCACAAGTGAAAAGAGTTTCTCTGATTAGCAGAATTTAGTATCTGTGGCATGGAATAATAATCTATTTTGGACACAGGTTTTTCATAAATTTGTTCTCCTTCATTGCTCACATGCTCTGATTTCTTTACTTGTATGTATATTTCCATATGAAAGAAATTTTAAAGACTGACTTATCTTAGAAAAAGCATTCTTCATTGAAATAAGCCATTTATGATGATGGCTGTGCATTCTTTGAAAAAGTACCCTGTTTGTTTCTGTCATGCTTGGTCCTAGATTCTTTGATAATATATATGATTGGTGAGTTCTGAGTAGAGATGGGGGCTTCGTATTCTTATACGAATATGAAGCCTGCTGGAACAGGTGGCTGGCTTAATGACCCCCCCCCCCAAGAACCCACTAGACCACTTACTGCATGGTGCACATTGCTGGCATCATCTTCTGCACCCCGATTGTAGCAGTAGCTTGGCTGCTGTAGCTCCACCTCCCTGCTTGCCGAACCATTCTATGGCTGAGCAAGGAGGCTCATCCTGCCCCCTTGCTGGAGTGGCTGAGTGAGCCGGGGGGTGGTGCTGCAGCAGCCAAGCTACTGCCGTGATTGGGGCGCAGAAGATTATGCTGGCCATGTGTGTGGCACACTGCTTGGTAAGTGGTCTGGCAAGTTCTTGGAGTGGGTGTTCATCAACCTGGCCACCTATGCCTGTAGGCTTCAGTGTGAAGCCCTCCATCTCTAGAAGATAAGATATGAAAAGCTGAGAACCACCTACTTAGTTTAAATTAGATATTAAGAGTGGTTTAAGAAAAGCAGGAATAAAATGTTCTTTCTTTTTAATTTCCAGAGACGTGGAGCAATTTCCTATGATAGTTCGGATCAAACTGCATTGTACATTCGTATGCTAGGTAAGTGCAGTCACATTCAAACACCAGTATCTGTGTGTGGTCATCTGCTGTCGGGTAGATGGTATGCATTTAATGCACATTAAACCTTTCAGGTTTTTATCCCTCGCTCTTCTACTACTTTCAGCGACTTACCTTGCTTATTGTTTTATTCAGACTATCAATTTAAGAATGGTTTAGTACAAGTTTAGCATTGGATAAATACAGGAGACAACAACTAATTTAGGAGATTATAGGTTCTTTGGTAACTCAGAGCTACTAGGAACATTTAGACTAGAGTGATTAGAGGAGAGCTTGGGTTTACAGAAAATTGTAGAATGAATCTAAAGTATGATATGAACATATCACAATATGAACAAAGGCCCCATTGCTTGAGTTGTTTGTGACTAGGAATGTGCACAGTGAAAGGTTGTGCATTTGTTTCCTTTGAAATTGCAGAATAAAACAAAACAAAAACAAATACAGCCTCCTCTCCCAAAAGCCAAGAAAAGCAAGCAAGCAAATAATAGAGACAGAAATTACAATAAAAGCCCTTCCCAACCATAAACATCTAATATGGGGAAATTTATCTCTCCCTTACTTCTTGATGCCTTCTCTTGTCTCTCTTTTTGAGTCCATCAGGGCAGTCCCAAGCAGATTGGGGGGGGGGAATCAACAAAAGAAAGGACATCCTGTCTCATAGAAAAATTTCCAAAGAATTGGGAATGGTGGTGGATATAATCCCAAGGAGGCATACTGGCAAAGTGTAGCTGCCTAGCAGCAGGAAAAATAATCCGAAGAAATGGAGGGAAAATCCCCCCAAAGAATCAAGAAAAAAAGGGCAAACAAGAAAAGGATCCAAGATAGAGGCAAAGACAGGCAGTAAAAGCCCCTGAAGACACCCCCCCCCCCAGTTTCAGGCCCTTCTACAGATTCAGCACCCCCCCACACACAGTGTTTTTTTTTGGCTGTTGGTAGTCTTATTGGTCACACAAGGACTATGGGCAATATCCTTCTGACCTTATTAGGTGAGAAATTTATCAGGTAGTTTGACAGACAAAGGGTTAAAGAATGTTACAAACAAAATGTGAAAGAAAGATTGACATACAAATGGTGAACAAAAGATTAAATGAAAGAGGTAAACAGGAATGAATAGGAAATATTTGTACCTCTTATTAATATGAATCATTTGTGTTTTAGAATCTCTCAGGAATCAAGAAGAAACATGAAAACAACCTCTTTGTATTTATTTTTTTCCTTTTGAAAAACACGAAAGGCCCATCTCTATTAGTGACCTTTTTGATTTAAAGCAGAGGTCACTCTGTTGATAACATTTTCAGCAAAATGTTATTGAACTTCTGTTTTAGCCATTAGAGCCATTTAGCATTTTAGCATTGTGTTAAATTGCTGTTTGGAAAATGGAACTGTCATAGGGAAAAGGACTGGCTAATGAAATCAGAAACTGAAGATAAACCCTTTAAAGGTCAGTTCCTGTAGTGTGTTTGTTAACTCAAATGTACAGTAGTTGCAGAAGATGCTTGATGCACACAAAATTAAGAATTTGTTTTGTTTAAAGCTTACTCTCAGTGACTCATGTGAGTAAATATTTGTGTAGGAAATAATTTCAGCTTACCTTTTAAACTAAACATTGTCATGTGTTACCAGTTTTGAGATAGCATGACTGCAATAGATAGGAAAAGATGTTTAGGAGGAGTTTCAGGTATAATTTATTCAACTTACTTTCCATAAACTTTACCTAAACATAATGGAGAAATCTGGCTTACTAGAAATCTGATTCATATGTTATCACTGCTCTCTCTGTGTATAAAGTAGTAACAACCTTTGCTTAGTTTATCAATTTTTGTGTACAGTGGTGCCCTGCATAGCGACGATAATCCGTTCCGGAAAAATCATCGCTATACGGATTCGTCGCTATGCGGAACAAAAAAGCCCATAGGAATGCATTAAAACACGTTTAATGCGTTCCTATGGGCAAAAAACTCACAGTTATGTGAAATTCCTCCATACGGCCGCCATTTTCGCTGCCTGGTAAGCGAGGAAAGGGCGCGAAAACACTGCGGGCGGCCATTTTGTTACCCGGCGGTCGTTTTGGAACTGCCAATCAGCTGTTAGAAAAAACATCGCTATGCAAAAAGCGGTAAGCGAAACAGCTTACCGATTGTCGCAAAGCAATGTTTTACCATTTGAAACATTGCAATGCGATCGCTTTTGCGATCGCGAAAAAGCCATCGCTATGCGGATTCTTCGTTAAACGGGGTGCCCATTATGCGGGGCACCACTGTATTTGCCTTTAAAATCAGGAGACCTTGAGATAAAATCCCCTTTGTCAGTGCTGAACTGTCAGCAGTGCTCAGCAGTACTTGGTGTTCAGTGGAACTGTTGGATAGCTCAGTAGTTTAGGCCTCTGGCTGCGAAACCAGAGGTTGGGAGTTCGATTTCCCACTGTGCATCCTTGACGGGGGCTGGACCTGATGATATATAGGGTCCCTTTGAGCTCTACATTTCTAAGGTGGTGGTGGTCAACTTGCAAAGATCTCATTTGCCTCCTGTCTAGTCTCTAAGCATCTTAATGGTTGTGCTGTTGTATATAGCAAATTGAAGTAATTAATGCTTTAAAAGCAAAAAAAAGCAAAGTGTGCTGCTTATATACCACCCAATAGTGCTTTAAGCACTCTCTGGGCGGTTTACAAGTTAATTATGCAGGCTACACATTGCCCCCCCCAGGAAGCTGAGTACTCAATTTACTGACCTCGGAAGGATAGAAGGCTGAGTCAACCTTGAGCCGGCTACTTGGGATTGAACCCCAGGCCATGAGCACAATTTTGGCTGCAGTACAGCAGTTTAACCACTGCGCCAGAGAGAGGAAAGAAAGAATTGATCATAGTTATGCATGTGCCACTGTTTTCCTTCCCGTGGCATATTCACTTATTCTTGTATTCATATTGGAACTGCTCAATAGCTCAGTGGTTTAGGCATTTAACTGCAGAGTCAGAAGCTGGAAGTTTGATTCTCCACTGAGCCTCCTTGACAGGGGCTGGACTTGATGATCCATAAGGTCGCTTCCAGCTCTGCAGTTCTGTTGTTGTTGTTGATGTTGTTGTTGTTGTTGTTGTTGTTGTTCAGTTGTAGACATATGTTCATCTTTGCCACAGAAAGGTATACTTACATCTCTTAAATGACATAGAAGCATGCATTTCTTCTTACTCCAGCCAGGAGTAACTTCAATGGCTCCAGGTAGCTTGTTGCTGTAGTGCATTCACTGACCTTCCTGCTCGCTTTTCTTTATAAAATAAATGTTAGGGTGTCAGCTTATTTCGTTATATTGGTGTCTTAGTATTTTACAGAAGCAGGAAAAAAAAGCTCATTTAACCACTGTACTTATATATGAGGGGTTTATAAACCACTTCTTAAAGGCCAAAATGGCATATGTTTTGAGACTAATAAGGTACAAAACATGGCAGTACTAATGAAAAAAAAAACCCAAAAGATGTTGTTCTGCAGCATTTGAGCCATCTGTATATTAGTGAAAATTAGCCTTCAGCACATTTGTAAGACTTAAGCAATTAAATAGTGCAGAAGAGATGCAGTTGGTGAACCAGCCTGAGCTGATGGATAGCACTCCTGGGCTACAGCTACGGCCTGAGCTTCTGGTGTACACTTCATCCTTCTGGGAGAATAAAACTCTATCCAGGACTAAGTTTGTATACCATCCAGAACTGCTGACTTCTCAGCGTACAGAAATTCTGTCTTTCTTGGGTCAGATTTTTGCTTTTCCATTCCAGTATGTTGTTTATTCACTTATGCAGGAGTTCTGTCTTCTCTTTAAGATGTTAGGATATAAGTCTATTGCAAGCTGAGCTATAGAACAGGACTTACCCAACACCATCTGATTTCCAATCAATCTGGAAGCATCAGAGTCACTGAAGCAGACTAGCTGATCCTGACAATAAGATACAATACTATAGTCTGTGGTATTACAGGCCACTGGGAAGTCTGGCAAAACCAAGAAGATTATGCTGTCGCTATCCAGCTCACAGAGCAAGTTATTCAGACAGATAAGGTTAGGCAAAAGATGGTATCCAGACAAGGTTTCTTTACTAAAGGTTACACCACTGTTTCTTTCAGGGAGAGTCAAGGTCTTACTCAACAACCAAGTTTTCAAATCTGAAAAGTTTAAACAGCTATGAGGTGAAATGGTCGAGAAAGTAGATGGTCACTGTCAAGCATTTATTTATTTATTTATTTATTTATTT